ACTTGTACTTTGACACAATAACTCTAAAAGATAAATTCTGGAAATAATTATTAACACAAATTGTTAAGGTATTAAATCAGAATTTCACTCTTATCTCAAGTGAAAACTGATCTAAGTCCACAACCACACAGATACACTGAGGTCTGAATATCAGACCAATAATTAATAACTTTGTTCAGATTAATAATTATTATGCCTAATCAGACTAATAAACCATCATGTAACAGAGCATCTGAATCCAACTCTCAGTTTAAATGTGTTAGAGAAAAGTCACTGATCAATCAATAATCAATTAATAATCACGTTTGAAGAAGAGGAACTGAGTCATTTAATTTGAAAACTTCCTTGTTGAAACATAACAAATGTTATTTGAACTGAACGACTGCATTTAAAAAATAGTGACTTCAACTGGATCGCAACGACGAAATGAATTTATATAAAACTTCACATTTAATATTTAGAGACTAATTTTATCTTATACATGTGTGTGTATGTATATATAATAGTGTTTTAACATAGTTTGTAATTGTAACACTATGTAAATGTAGCGAATAAATCATAATGTAAAGTAAAACTGAAGCTCAGCCCGTTCAGATTGAATGGAGCGTTAGCATGATGCTAACAGGCAGGTGCTCCGGTAACGTACCAGCACAGACAGTCGGTCCTGCAGCGCCTCGACGGTGAGAGACACCTGAGCTCTGATCACGTGTCTGTCGAAGTCCACGTGGAAGGTGACGTTCAGGTGTCTGGTGATGCATCGGGACGAGCACGAGAACGAGCACGGGTCTGAGGACATGTTGCTGGTTCGTCTGTGGAGACACTGAAGACACCGGGGACAGCACTGGGACATATACCGGAATATGCCGCCACATCCGATACCGGCCTGTTCACAATAAAAGTTCCCACATCACAGGCACAGCAGAATACATGCTTTTATTTTGAAACCTCGCAGATAAAGCATTAAATGTAATGTGTTGTTTCTGAATCTTTTGAACTGCTATTGAATCGTTTTTGAATCTCAAATAAAAAGTAAGTAGAGACATAAGTCTAGAAATCACCAAAAGCAACATTTACTGCAGTTTTTTTCCATCGTATGTTACTTCACTTCTTGTGTTGAAATAGATGAATCGCACATAAACATTAGTGTCAACGACAAAGTTTCCTGATTTAACATTTTAATAAAATAGTTTTCACCCTATCAAATATTAACTTTGTTTATTGTGAAAACATCGGATTAAAACAAGATTGTAACCTTATTTAATTTTTACTTTATAACTAATCATAAAAACATTATCTCATTGAACTTAAAATATATTTTACGTCATTAGACATCAACACAAGAATCTGCATCCTTCACTTCAAACCTTAAAAAACACTTTTGTCTTAAAGATTTTTCACAAATTGTTACAAAGACAAAAACTTGCTATATGATAAAAAATATTCACTAAAACTTTCTTGACTATTTAGATAAAAATAAATATCTGGGAACAGGTGAAGAAAAACAACTTTATTGCATCATCTCTGCTTCTTCTTCACATTAATTAGGAATGATGAGGCGTTCAGGGTCGGCTCTGTGGAATGAGTCATCACACGACAGGTCACCGTCACCTGTTGGTAGCCCCGCCCCCACAGGTAACTGTCACCTGTCGTTAGCCCCGCCCCTCCCGATCCAATCAGTCACATGAATCAGTTAAAACATGCGGATTAAAAGAAAGACAGATCGAACAAACATCTGCAGGAAGAACAGAAGAGAAGAGCAGGAAATGAAGGTGAGCTCAGAGTCCATGACATCACTTCCTCTTACAGACGACACATTTATAAATTAAAAAACAAAAACAGTCTGTGAAACGCTCGTCCTCCATTCGTACATGGTCACTTCCAATTTCCCGTTAGGTGGTTTAGCGTTTTGACAGCTCATTGGACAACCAGTCCAGACCCTCGTACAGACCCGTCCCCTGCGTGGCGCAGGTCGCCTGAATGTGCCACTGACAAGACAACAAAACAAACAGCTGTTACATTCACCGAAAAACCTCATATTAGTACCACACTCTTAATGTGAAGGCAATATTAAAGACATCTGGCGATTAAAAAAAATCTGTTAAATCATAAAAGCTTTGTTTTTGTCTTGCATCTTATTTAGCAGATTTTTTTTTCAACTTTTATCAAAAACAAATGCCGTCTCTTTTCGACTGATATAAAAGAAATGTTTATAAACTGAACAAGTTTTATTCTTTGACAAATGACTTAAAGGATCAATGTGTAGAATTTAGTGACATCTAGTGGTGACGTTGAATGTTGCAGCTGAATACTCCTTGCCTCAGCCTGCCCTTCCAAACATGAAAGAGAACCCGTGATGGCCTTCAGTTGTCATAAAAGATCAGAAGGTTCAGTTTGTCCAGTCTGGGCTACTGTAAAAACATGGCAGCTTCCGTAGAGAGGACCCACTGCTGATGTAAATATAAAGTATTTAAATATAAATTCCATTCCATAAGGTCCATTCTAAGGTAAAGAAAACAACAATTGGTACAATTTTGATGAAACAAACATCACTAGGATTATGTTATATTTAATTTCTGCCAATAGATCCCTTTCACATGAATTTTACACACTGA